TGTTGTTCTCGGGGACGCTTTCTCGCGCATGCGCAGCGCATTGGTAGAGAAATCCAGCGACGGCGTATGTAGTACATATTTGTGTACGTACATTACTTACAATAATATGTTTAATGCCAGAAATTTTTTAAGCTAATTATAATCGTCTTTTATTAATTTTTTATTATTTATTTGTGATTCATTAATTTGTAAAACATTTTAGATTATTCTTAACATTATCTGAGCAGAGGGCTTAACAGTACCCTTTTTCTTATAAATTTGACACGTATCTTAAGGCCATGTTTAACGCGCATGCGCGAGAAAGCGTCCCCGAGAACAACATTGGGGCCGATGCCCACGTAGAAAAGGACGTACTCTGTTTCGTGCCCCTTGCGTTCTCTCTCGCTCGCACGTAGCATGACGAAAGAGAGCGCTATGCTCTGTGCGAGCGAGAGAGAACGCAAGGGGCACGAAACAGAGTATGTCCTTTTCTACGTGCACCTCGGCTCCCACTCCTCAACGCTCGGTCTAGATATACTATGTCTATGGAATTAACTAGAATTCATCGAGTTCTATAGATATATATATCATTCGCTGACACGTGGATCTGGTCCCCTTCTCTTTTCCTTCCCCCACCCCATACATATATAAATTCACGCCGGCGATCTGGAGATCGCAGAGTCGCAGGTCGCAGATCGTAGATCGTAGATCGTAAATCGCAGATCGCAGATCGCAGATCGCAGATCGCAGTGCGATAGTAATTGAGTGAAGAGTGACTACACGAATTTCAATCATGAATACCGTTACTTGCATTGCACCGGTCAATATCGCAGTCATTAAATATTGTACGTGCTCATAAGTATATGCTTTATTATAAATAATTAATCTGCGACTATAATTAATGTACAATAATTTTATTTTCTTCACATTTATTATATATAATTTAAGTTTTTTCACATTTTTTGTGCACATAAAATCGTAAATTTTTATTATAAATTTTCTAAACTTTCAGAAAGAAAAGATTATAATTTGTGATTAAATACAACGTTGTAACACGAAATCATTATTGTAAACTCTATTACATCTACACACTCATTTTTTAATATTTCAAGCAACGTTCAAGAGCAGTCTGTATTGTACAAAAGTATTAACATTTGAATAGCTATCAACTAAAGCAGTTACAATAATAATATGGGAACGTCACTCCTTATACACGACCGTCTTTCACTCTTATATTTTTAAAATCAATTTTTTTTAAATTTATGATTTTAGGGGGAAAGAGAGATGAATCTTTAATTTTACCAACCAATGATTCTATAAGTGCTACTTTAGACACGGATCAGGTAAATAATTTAAACTTCTAAATCAAATTATAGAACATTAAAGCTTGGCAAGATATTTCTAATATTCTAGTTTTATGTTCTTCATAGTTGCACGCAAAAACTAGCGTCATGATCAGCCTTGATTTCAAAGAAGATCATATTTGGTTGAATGGGAGGTACATTAATATGAGATATTTTCATTTCGTTTTCATTATGCATATATATTTTTTTCAGATTCATGTTTTAATATATAAAAATATATATTTTTCAGGGAAGAAGATATAAAAAATCCAAGACTTCAAAATTGTTTGAAAGAGAGTAAGAGTTAATGCATAGAGAAATTTATTAAAGATACTGGAAATAAAATCTTTTTAAATTCTATTCTTCTTTTTTAAGTTAAGAAACGTTCACAATTACCTGGTTATATGAATGACTGGAAGATTCACATCTGTTCAAAAAATAATTTTCCAACTGCTGCTGGTCTAGCTTCCAGTGCAGCAGGATATGCGTGTCTCGCAGCAGCACTAGCCAAGCTTTATAAAGTAGAGGTATCTATTTAATGTATTAATACAAAAATTATATTATCTCATTAAAATAATTAATAATATTCTGTAGGGAGACATTAGTGTTATAGCACGTTCTGGTTCTGGTTCAGCTTGTCGTAGTGTTATGGGTGGTTTTGTAAGATGGCACATGGGTCTAGACAAGTATGGAACAGACAGCATGGCAAAGCAGATTGTGCCTGCTTCTCATTGGCCGGAAATGAGGATTTTAGTGCTAGTTGTAAGGAAAAAAACATTTCTTTATATAAAAATAAGAATATTTGATAAATATAAAGGGATATTTAACACAATTTATAAAATGCAAATTTATAGGTAAATGAAGAACAAAAAAAGGTTTCAAGTGCAATAGGTATGAAACGAAGCATGGAAACTTCTCAATTTCTGCAATATAGGATAACACATACAGTTCCGGAAAGAGCTAATAAAATGCAACAGGCAATCATTGAAAAGGATTTCAAAACTTTTGCCGAACTCACTATGAAGGATTCGAATCAGATGCATGCTGTGTGCCTCGATACGTATCCTCCATGTGTTTATATGAACAATATCTCTAACAGTATCATGAATCTTATACATTCCTATAATGAGGCAGTTAATGATGTGAAAGTACGAAATATCTTCATTATATCTTGCACTTTTTACTGTCAATTATAACATAAAATAACTTGGGTTATACACATTTCTTTTATCAATAAAAAAAATTGTTAGGTTGCGTATACTTTTGATGCTGGGTCAAATGCTACATTATATTTATTAGAGAAGGATGTGCCAGCAGTGATGGGTGTTCTGAATTATTTTTTTCCTCCTCTGGAAAATGTGACAATTGAATATAAAAAAGGATTATCTGTTGAAGAAATCAAACCTGCAAAAGTATGTACTTTGTGTACTATGATTAGTTCAGAATATTAATTATTTGGATATGCGCTCATTACAATTATTTTTCTGTATAGGATTTATTGGAGAAATTGAAGTTTCAAAAACATCCACCGGGACAACTTAAGTACATAATATATACCAAAGTGGGAGATGGACCTAAATATCTTGATAGCCCACAGGATCAT